AACCAAAAACGTTTTAGAAATTCACTGATTTTGCCATGTGCAGACAGTTGTGTGTAACCTTAAAGATCTTTTACTACTCCATTGGATTAGTCACCCCCCAAATGTTTTTCACTAGCCAGTCCTTGTCAAGTAAGGCGATTTTCATTGGTGAAAAAATATTGCATATGTAACCTTGGCTTAAAGGTTATGTAAAGTCTGTACTGCGCATATGTTCTGCGCAGGCCTACATTCCAATGGTCGGGACCCGACCATTGGAATGTTGTTAATATTTCCCACCTTCCGAACTTTCTTGAATTGAATCTCTAATCTGTATTAATTTACAAGCATAGCAAACCAGAAGAGTGTTAAAAATTCAGTAAGCCCTAATTAGTGGACCTAAGTATTTAACGCACACACAGATGCGCCTTACTTTATTATTTTACTCTGTATAACACCATGTGGACGATTTTACTCATCAGGGGAGAGTGCTGCTACTCAGTGGGTTAATCACACTATCATCCTGTTAGCCCTTTAACTGGCAATGCGCCCGGATGCACCCTACTTTATTATTTTACTCTGTCTAACGCCAGACGATATTACTCATCAGGAGAGAGTGCTGCCACTCAATGGGTAAATAATAACTTCCATTATTTATTGGCATATTGTAGGGATGAGCTTATGCCGATACTATCAATACTGCACGCTGCATAGAAAAACTGCATAATTCGAAAACCTTTTTGCGTGCCTGCAAACACACAAATTATTTGAAAATGTGCCTGCAAAATGTCTTCATGCAACATCACACCACTGTGAAGTACGCAATTACGCATGAGAATCAACATGACATTCAACATGACATTCAACATGACATTCAACATGACATTCAACATGACATTCAACATGACATTCAATGATATTTGTGATGTTACTCTGGGGGTATATCCACACCGGGCAAGCTTGAAAAAATATGCCTGACCACGGTGGGAATCGAACCTACAACTTTTGGAACACCAGCCAAATGCTCTGCCAACTGAGCTGCGCGGTCAGATCGGTTCGAGTATGTGATATTTCGGAACTGAGTCTAGTTCCTTCGATATCAATGTAATCTATTAAGTCTATTAATAATCATGAATTGTTTTCTGTGTTGGTGTTGTGTACTCAGGTGAATATGATATTTATGATGTTACTCTGAGTGTATATCCACACCGGCCGAGCTTGAAAAATATGCCTGGCCACGGTGGTCCCTGAGTACATCACATCAACACAGAAAACAATTCATGACATTCAATATTGTGTAAATTAATTAATTTCAATGACTCAAAAAGTCAAAATGATAAACACAGCCATTTCTTCTCTCCCAAATGAATTAGAAAAAAACCCCATGCAGGTCACATTAGCTAACTAGTACCTTTATGGCTTAACAGCTATCCACACTGCCAATAAATATTAAATGCAATTTGCCAAGAATTTTAAAACTATTCATTTCTCCGCTGCTATTCTATAGGATTTTTTAAAAATTCCTTATCTTGTACAAATTTATCGCCTCTATCAACTGGTTAGTCGAACCTTAGGTGGCTTAGGTACACAAACAATCGAAATTCGGCCGCGAACTGAAGGTATTCAAGTTGTAAGCGAATACTAATTAGTGCGCACGCACTTACAAAAATAGCATGTTAAACTATAAATTTCTCCGCTACTATTCTATAGGATTTGTTCAAACTTTCTCATCTTGTACAAATGTATCCCCTCTATTCCCTGGTTATTGGACTTTAGGTGGCTTAGGTCTACAATCGAAATTCGGCCGCAAACTGAACGGTATTAGCAGTAAGCGAATGCTAATTAATTAGCGCGCACGCACTGTCAATATTCAATACTAATAGCATGTTAAACTATAAATTTCTCCGCTGCTATTCTATAGGATTTTTTAAAACTTTCTTATCTTGTACAAATGTATCCCCTCTATCCACTGGTTGTTGAACCTTAGGTGGCTTAGGTCTACAATCAATCAAAATTCGGCCGCAAACTGAACGGTATTAGCTGTAAGCGAATACTAATTATACAGTAGTGCGCACGCACGGTCAGTAATAGCATGTTAAACTATAAACTTCTCCGCTGCTATTCTATAGGAGTTTTAAAAATCAGCCATGAATTAGTATCGACCAATTAGTAGGCTGTCTTATGAGTTAGGCCTAAAAAAATACCATACCATAAAATTAGTTTTGGCGGTTTTTTGCACTGGGCAATTTTCAGTAGAGTCCCGACATCAATATTAACTAGAGATGCGCATTTCCTATGGACAAATGTAGGACATATATTTGGGAAATATTGCAGTCTGTTACAGTATAGTAAAGATATAAACTATATCACAAGAAAACCTGAAACAAAAGTAAAGCCAAGCGACTAAAAGAGGAAAGATTTGAACAATTTCATAGTAGATTTGTATGCGCCCCAAGTTTCTCTCTTTATATATTAAATGGTGGTGGAAAATATTTAAGAAAATTGATACTTTTTATTATGCGACATTATTACCCCCTTCGCACCTTATTCAAATCTTGAAAGAGATTCTTGCTACATGGCCAAGTTTATACCAAAGATGAACGACACAAACATCAATGCGCAATACTAAGAAATGAAGACAAACCAAGTCGGAATTCAATGATTTCAACCATCAGCTCATAACATAGTGGCAGACTGCTCTCAATCAATCAATAGGGTCTCGTGACCGTAAAACAATAGAGCGTTGTGGGAATAGTTATACCCGGATGTAAAACGAGAAATTATTTATATTATTTTTAGGGTTGGTACAGAAGAGAAGCGAAAAACACTGTAATTTTTTTATTTACCCAAAAAATAAAATAATGTTTACCCAACCCATGTGTTACTGTGCTGCACAATAATTAAACACACGCACAAGATTATGGTGAGGGGAATCAACTTGCCTAAATTCTAAAACCTCACTCACACTCAAACTCACTGAGTGTGCCAAAGCAATCACTGATGGTCACTGATGGTCTATTTTGGTACAGAATGTATTGTACACATTTTCTTCATATTTTCCAATGCATGGTAATTTTGGTTTTATTTTATAGCTGACAGCCAGCCATAATTCTTTAAATTGTATTTTTAAACCACTGCGGGCCGGTTGTCCAAAGCCGGGTTAGCGCTAACCCATGGTTAAAATTTAACCCGCTGTTTTAGTTTGTGTATTTCTGCACGTCTGTTTATTTGAAACTTCAGAGAAGTAAACTCCTATCGATCCAGACAAGATCTCTGAAGAAATATTTCCAAATTTATAAACAAGTTGTCAGGAAGTTTGCTTTGAATTTTAAATTAACCTAGGGTTAAGCTAACCCAGCTTTGAACAACTGGACCCTGGTGTTTTGAGCGGGTTTTTTTCATATGTCCGGAAAAATTTGGATTTGTCCGATTAACGATTTCTCTGTGAGGCCCTGTTAAAACAGTAAAATTCGGTACGAATTTGTAAATTGGGTATGGGCATCATTTGACACAACGAAAAGTGGACCCATGCAGGTAGGGAAATCGCAAAATTCATTAAAGACTGGACCTTTCAGGGAGGGGTGGATCGGGGATCCTCCCGGCCATAAACCAGGGCAGTGGCACAATACAAAATACAAAGCCAAAAAAGGGCCAAAGGGGGTAGAACAAGGTTGCCTTCAAATGAGGCTACATTCCGCTATCAAAGTCCTTTCGGATATTATTTTGGGGGCACCCCCTACACGAAGTGTCTGTCCCTGAACAAAATGGCTACTTAGTGGTGCAGTTTCTTTCTATTTTTGTTCTTTCTTTCCTTTTCCTTCTTTTCTTTCTTCCTTTTTTTCTTTCTGCCAGCATACAAACTTTCTGGGACCAATGGTCCGCTATATTTTCCACCCGTGTTTTATATACTGAATATTCCCAGTTACATGCTTTAAAATAATTTTTGTGGCTAATTACGAGCCTCTAGATTAACAGCCTCTAGATTCAAAATTGTTTGGGAATACCCCCCACTCCCCTTGCTCCCCGATTTGTCTGGCCTTTCTCCCACCCAACTTTTAACGTTAAAGATCTAATCCAGGTGCTTTGACTCCTCCTCCCCCCCCCCCCAGTCAAACACGTGATGCCT